TTTTACTACCCTCAAATAAGAATGAAGTGTTTTCTCATCTTCCCCTCTCTTTCCTCTCCAACAACTTACCTTTAATCTCTCCTCCCCTCTTTTCCTCTCCAACAACTTACCTTTAATCTCTCCTCCCCTCTTTTCCCTCACTCTAGAACGACATCTATGGTTTCAGAAGGGATGGACTAAAGTGATATTTGAGACGGATGTCATTGTAGTTGTTCAAGGAATTTATAAGGAAGGTGGAATGTCTTATTTTGATCTTTTACTTAATGATGTAAGAGATGTGCGAATCGTGTTGCCCACATCTCGATAGACAGGGCCGGTCCTGACAATTTATAGGCCCTGGACAAAAGACAAAAAATAGGCCCCTAATTATATATTCCATATATTATTGAAATGTATTACAAAAGCTTCAAGTCAAAAATAAAATTCATTACACAAGTAAATGTTTTTGTTCCTAAAAAATACTTGGTATAATAAGCCATACAAAACAATTCTTTAGGCATTGTTAAAAGAAAATTTTAATTTTAAATTCTCGCCTTTGTGAGGAAGGTAGAAAGTCATCTAGTTGTGTTTCGTCTGTAGCTCTGCCGTTGTGGCTCAGTCTACGGATATGAGGATTGAGGGGTATCTTTTACGGAGTATTAGAGATTTAGAGTATAAGGAAATGATTTGGTCAGGCGCACTTGACAAAATGACCTGGTCAAAATTTTTTAATAAAATTTTGTGGGCATGTTCTTCATAAAGATTAGATTATTTACACAAAATTTCAATTTCTAATTCAATTAAGAAGTTAGTTAAATAAATTATTAAAAACATTGCGATATTTAAACATACATAAAGCACACTGTTTTTCAATAATTTATTTAACAGATTTTCTGATTGAATTTTGAGTTGACATTTTTTTGACCTAATCTACACTTAATGAAAAACATACTCGCAAACTTTTATCAAACAATTTCATCCGAAAGCGTCTCAAATAGATTTGTGGACCCGAGGTGAACGAGACTCAATATATATTACTCCTAAATAATTTATGGGCCCTTCTTCCTGGTGGGCCCTGGGCAGAAACCCATCCTGCCCCTATATCAGGACCGGCCCTGTCGATAGACCAAGCGTAGCCATCTCAGGTCTTAAGTAATGCTATGAGAGTATTCCAAATTGCATTGTAAGTTAAGAATAGGTTATTATGTGGTTAATGATATTGTGCAAGCTATGTATTGATAAGGATATTCAATGTTTTGAGAAAATCATTTCATGTATTAATAACATTTTATGCATTGTCTTAAATATAATATGTTTTTTTTCAATACGATGACATATTAGGATGTTTTCTTTTGGACTGAAATTTGTTAGTCTGGTCTGGTCTGTTCTGGTCTAGTGTGATCGGGTCAGGTTTGAACAGGTCTGGTCTGGTAACATTTGGTCTCTGACTCTCTGTGTATTTTATAACTATATATAGAAGTTTGGTCTTATCTTGTTTGATCTGATCTGGTGTGATCTGAGACTGAAAACAATCTAAAAAAACATTTTATTGAGCGAATTAGTTTTACAACGTGCACATTGTAAAAATTGTCATAACTTTTAATTGTATTTTCCCTAATTTATTCCTTATGTTTCTTAATATAGTGTAAATTTTTGAACCCCACTCCAAAGAGGCTTTTGATGTTGGAGGCATTCCGAATCCACCACTCACGTTCCTGCACATTACCCCTGGCTTGCATTGTTATCTTTTCTAATATGTGATGATCGCTAACATCCATTTAACAGCATGTCTTTTCAATGTCAATTTTAATAAAATTAATTAATTGTTCAATCCTATACTATTTGGCACGTGTTATTGGTAGTCTTAAATGTGATATTGTCCTCCCTAATATAATGCATCATGTTTTTAGATCAGATGTCTAGGGGTGGGAAAAACCGAACCGAAACCCGGAAACCGACCCTGGACCGACCCGAATTATGATCCCGGTCCGGGTTTTTTCTTTTTAACCGGCCCGAATTTAAAAAAACCCGGACCGAACCGAAAATTCCGGGCTCATTAACGGGCCTTAAAATCTATAACCCGGCCCGGACCGAAAAAACCCGAAACAATTACTTTTAATATAAAATTAATATAGTATATGAATATAAATAAAATATTTCCTAATATATGATTATAATCACGGTGGATAAAAAAAGATTTAGTAACTTTTAGTGACTACAAATATGTTGAATTTGTTTAGCGTAATGATGACCATGAGAATATATTTATAGCAACTCTAGTAACTTTTTGATTTATAAAATTTATTTCGTAATATTTTTAAGAAACCTATATTATTTATATATATACATCTTACATAAAATATTAAGATAATTATCTTCTTTAAATTTGAATTGTTGGTGATTTTGGAGACTAAAATTTGTGTTATTATTTGCGGTTTGTATTTTTGATTAATTTTATTTGAAAATACGTGTTAAAATATAAAACAATGACATATTTCACGCCCGGGCTTTAACCGGTCCAACCCGAACCCAGACCGAACCCGAGCTACCAAAAACCCGACTCGGACCGAATATAATGGGCTTTGTTCCGGTCCCTAATTTTCATAACCCGAGACCTTCCGGGTAATTTCCGGGTTTAGCAAAAACCCGACCCAGACCGGACCGATCCCACCCCTACAGATGTCCTCGGTAACTACTTTACATCAATTCTTTTTCTCGGCGCCAAACTCATTTTTTAAAATAACGACACTTACATTTTAAAATAAAAATAAAAAATATAGAAACTTACAACATTCCCAATGTTATACGTAGTACGTAGTAATATGTAGTTATACATGTTACATAAAAGAGACAGATATTATAAAAATAAATTAATGACATTTTCTCCCTTTCTTACCACACTCTTACATATTTTTAATAACTTTTTCTGTGTAATATCAACCACAAGATCTACACTTAGAACGTCTCCAATACAAAAACATAAATAATATACATGTGGCACGAGAGAGACACACATAAAATAAATAAGTAGAATATCTCTCTCCTTATTGAACGGTCATATATGTTTTTGACAAGTTTTTCTTCACATTGTCAAGTACAATGTTCAAATATAGACATTGTGATTGATATATTCAGTAAAACTTATCAAAAACTCATAAGAACATGGTGATATGGTTTGAACTAGAGTTTGGTTTTGTTCATCCTATAGGAGTTTTTTCCTCTATTAATCTTAGTTTCCTTGTAAAACCCCAAACAGAAAGTGAAGAAGATCAAGGTCTGAAGGAGTATATGTAGAAGGTAGAGAATGAGCTCTCCAATTTGCACTGACAGCATGACTGTAATCAATGATCATCTTATCCCCGTCTCCTTTAACAAAAATTATACTTTTTATTGCGAGATGTGAGGAGCGGATCTGTGACCACAATTTTCTATCTTTTAGTTATTTGACAGTTTTTGGGTGGTTATTAGCTTAATTGCAGGAAAGGGGATTATTATCGGCACCTTTCCAATTTTCTATCTTTTAATTGCAGGAAATGGATTGAAAGAATGACTACAAGACCATACTTTATTTCAGTTCAGCTCAAATTTGTTATTTTGTGATGATATATTAAGATTTTATTGATTTTTTAATTTCGATTTGGTTGTATACGGTTTGGAAAAAATTCTATCAAACTCAAATAATCAAAATACTACATGATTCACTTTCGGTTCAGTTTAGTTAGATTTGATCAAATCGAGCTGATTTGTCCACCCATAACTTAAATATAGCTGCAAATGTTTACTGGTAGAGATTTATAATGCACATGTTACAAATCTTCTTAGTTGGCCCTTTATTGACAAATGTGATGGTAAATTGTAAAATATACATATTTTTGAGCAAAAATATACATTGGACATTTATATAATCGCGCATCGCGCGTGTGAAAACGAGTACAATGATAAAAATACATCTATTGTAACATCAGTCGTATATAACATGCTAAAAATGTTGCATTTGATATATTGTGACATCTTTACACCTATTGCAACATTTGACATGTGCTACGTACAAAAGCTATACTTTGTTGGAATGATCTCACTAGCTACGAGGCCTTCTTCTTTTACTCAGTTTTTTTTGGAAAGAGTATAGTTATTTATGTTTTTCCATAGACTAATCCATCATAATTTTAGTTATATATATATATATATCCTGTTGGGGTATTGGGTCCAGGCCCAATACCCCCAATCCATGATGGGAAAAAGCCCGGAGGAAACAATTGGCCCAAAACGGTACAAGACACCCCGGTCAAGATGCCCGAACAGCGTTCGGGCATCTCAACCCATGGAACATTGCCAGCCCAGTGACATGTCTAGCCCAAGCAGCGTTCGGGTTATTTGGCCTACTTGGGAAGAGTCAACGAGAGCGTTACCATCCGAGGACTACGCCCCACACAGGCGATACCTGACCGGTGTTCGGGCCATTTCACCCCAAAGGGGGCAATACATCAAGTACAACACCGGCTAGGACCCCGCACCCCGGACTGGGTGCCCGGATGCAATAACAGCAAGTGGCAACCGCATTTAATGCTAGAGTATGGCGGGAACTAGTGGAAGCATGGCGGGAAAGGCAGCAACCAACAGGGTTTGGCCACGTGTCCTTCTCACTACTATTCCTTACTATAAATAACAACATTTAATTCATTGGAAGGGGAGAGCATTTGTGTACTCGGAGCTTAGAGAGAGATTTATTGTCCTATTCTTGTATTAATTCACTACTCCGTTAGGCCGTTCGGATAGTCCTTGGTACTTGCGATATTAATACAAGTTCAGCTCCTGGATGCAATTCTTCTTCGTGTGTTGGGCTTCAGGATCTACGGGACTTAACCTCAACATATCCAAATAAATCTCAATTACATTATACTTCCTCCGTTCTAAATTAGATGCAACACTTGCCATTTTTAGAAATTTCAAATTAGATGCAACCTTTCCCTTTTAAGAAACAAATAATAGAGTAAATGGCTTTAATGCCCTTAGGTATTCTACTCCCATTCTGAATCTTCTTTATCTCTCTCTCTCTCTCTTTATTATCTCGACCATCCTTCTTCCACCCACAAACCCACTCCGCTCCTTTAATTCTTCCACCCACTTCTTCTCTTATTTCTACCAACTTTTTAATCTCATTTAATTCTTTCCACCCACATCTTCCATTATCTTCTCTTTTCCCAGTATCATTCTTAGTAACTTTAATTGCTTTGTTGTTTAGTGTCACTGAAATGGAGAATCCGCCAGGAGATTTGAACGAAGATGGAATCGATCTCTTTTCTCCACACACTCCACCTCGAGATACAACACCCGCAGACACGGATTTGGTGGTTCCCGATACTCCTCCTCACATTCTTGCGGCAAGAGAGACAGGTTGTTCGATTACATCCAGATTTTGGGCAAAACCTTTGTTGCCGCCCATATCGCCGGTGCAGGTGGTCCCATCCAAAAATCCAGCGAAGATGGAGAGGGTTTACCATCCAATTTTCGGTTACCATACAATCTACAACATGGAGTTTTTTAAGATCCTTTGGCCCAACCAGTTTGAAGAGGAGGGTTTCTCCCCAAGAGGTAATTCTTTGGCAATTTTCATGTATGTAATTGATTTTGGATCTAATTACTAGCAACTATGCATCCATTTAATATTGTAATGTGTAGATATTAAAATAAAAACAAGATTCCTTTTTCATTTCTATTTATGTCCTTCCAATACATTGATTAGTTTGTATTGTTCTTCCAACTTGACAATTTTATTAAATACTTCAATAGATTTTTATAAATCTGCTTGGTGTACACTTGTAGTAGACATCCATATGTGTTAATCCCTCTCTTGGTGTTGTATTTATGTGTGATGTTTTCTATAAATATCATGGGCTTTTTTGTGTATGTTTTTTGTTATAAACAACTTCAATTAAAATACTTAAACAAATAGATATACAAACTTGACATATAAGGCCATCTATGCTTATACTAAAGCACTTGAACAAACTGCACAAACTGGACAAATGCTTATACTAAAGTACCTAACTAAACTACACAAATGCTTATACTAAAGTACGTAAATAAACAGCACAAATGCTTAATACAAAAAAAACAATTACACATAAAGCACTTAACAAAAAAGCACAAACTGTTAACAACATTCATGCTTATACAAAATGTTTTTTCAAAATAAGGCCAACCTGTTTCTGCCAATGCAAAACTATAACAAAAATCAAGCTTCCTAAACTAGACAGTCAACAAAATGAGACAATATAACCAAAAGAAGGTTGCCATAGTTAGAACCTGGGATCTATACTCCTAGGCAATGTTGCAAAAAAGTGGCAACATTACAAAATTATCCCAAAAAATACATATATATTGTGTGAAGTTTAATTAAGTGTAAGTGTAGTATTGGAATCTACACCCACACTAAACTGAATTTCACCTTCCATTAAGTACTGCCTGGTTTCTTCAATTAACTCTTCTGGAATTTCAAGATGTTCTGGCAGTAGTCCCATGCTGTCTAATTTCCTCTTTGATGCGTGGGGATTCTTGTAGTTATTTCCACCTTTGACTTTCAACACTTCTAACATAATGTATTGAAGATGCAACCAAGTGTAGTTTAAGACTTTTGGATCAAAACTATGATATGCATCATTGACAGCCCTTATGAGTTCATCCACATCTCTAGGAAAAGCTTTATATTGAATAGACTGAATAGCTCTAAAAAATCCAAGATCAAGGACATTAACATCTGGACTTTGGGCGGGCTGACAAGTCAATCTAATGTTGAATCCAAAAGCAGTGGCAGCCTGTTTGAATTGTTCATCATGCACACTTATATGAGGCCGTGCATTGTCTTGTTGAATCCAAATGTCTTTGCATGCATTAGCAGGCCATTTTTCCCTTATCGCTGGCAAAACTGAATAAATAAGTTTTGCTCTTATAATTTCCTTTGTGACACTTTGTATAGCTTTAGTTTCTGGTGTGCCTGCAGTTCTGTTAACAGAGTTTCGTTGTGCATAGACGACTTCTGTGAATGGGAAAATCCCAATTTTACCATCCCACGTGACTTGACCTGTGACTGAAATGTGTGGCCTACCCACAGCTGCCAAAAACATAACCTTTCCAATGAACTTTTTATTTTGGCAGCTTCTATATGGATCATCCTCCCAAGGAAATAGATAGAACCTTTGTGTTTGTTGTGACATATAGAACCATTTCTCATCTATGTGAACCATATTGTACATTGCACTAAATTTAGGAATTGTATCAACTGACCTTGGTATTATCTGGTTCATAATGTGTTGTAGCCTTTTTATCATGTGTGCATGACTTAATTTAGGCTTGATGCTATTCGTATGAGCTCTAATCTGTCCACTTTTGAGCATTCTGTAAACATTTGAATGACAGATGTCAAGTGCTATAGATAAGGACCTAATTGTTGTCCTTTGTTGAAGTGGCACAACGTGGAGTCTCTCTAAATCAAACACCTTGGCCTTCCTTCCCACTCTTCCCTTTTTCTTGTTTTTTACATTTATTAGTGAGCCCCTACTCATTTGTAATTTGGCAGCAGACCAAAGTCTCCAGACTGTTGTTCTGTGGACATTAAATTCTGCTGCAACTTTTGATACAACGCCTTTTGGTAAGGTTTTGCCATCACTGAGCACTAAAAGCTTTTCTACGAGGTGTTTCCTTTGATTATTTTGTAGCTCTGGTTTTTTCCTTCCCATTGATGTGCCACTAACTGTAGCAGAAACATTGTTTGCATTTTCTGGAACTTGTTCTTCATTTTCTGAGTTTTCTTCTTCATTTTCACTTTCAGAGAAGAAAGAAGAGAAGATGACAGCATCTGGGTCGAAATTACCCTCACCAAACATGAAATCTTCCTCCAGTTGAAGAAGCTCTGCAACTGTGATATCTTCCTCCATTAGTACTGCTGATTTTGTTGTTTGTATTGAAGTGTAAACTGTCAGATTTTGCTGCTACCTTTTTCCCATTTTTATTCGTTTTGGAGTAGCTTTTAAGTGCAGCAGAAGGAAGCTTTTAGGTGCAGGAAAAGGTAGATTTTGTTGTTGCACAAAGGAAGAAGTAGAAAAGTTTCTGGTGCAGGGAGTGTTTTCAATGCACGTATATGTAGTGTGTTATTTTTAGTTGGAGGGAAGTTTTTGTTTTTAATTTTTTGTAATTCCCTCTCAAAATTTGGTAGAAGTTGTATCATAACAATTGTACTATGTCTGGCTGTCTGCGTACTACTTTTTGGCTACAGGGACAGTTTACTGTTTTGAACAGTGTTCATTACAACCTTTGTTGTGCACCGTGTAGTTTGAAGGGCAATATAGGGAAAAAATATTACTGTAGCACCTTTCTTAATTCTTGTGTCCAAGTCTATGTTGCATCTAATTTAGAACGGAGGATAGTAGGTAGTATCAAATTATATTTTTTTAGAGTCGTAGTATCAAATTTATGAAGTGTGTTAGTTATCAAATTTAGTATCAAATTATTTTGTGGGATAAAAAGAGTATTATTTATCACTACAAAAAAACTATAGGATTAACACAAATTTGGTACAGATTTATCGATGATTTCGTGCCAATAACTCGTGCCTAAACGTTGTTTGCACGAATTTGACATATCCCAGCTGCCAAAATTCCTACCAGTTTCGTAGAATCTTTGCTAAAAGTTCTTGTCAATCTCGTGTTTTTTTGTGGTGTATAGATATTTTCCCTTCTAGGAGTGAAGTAAATGGATGCTATATTTTTGTTTTGACAAACGCAACTTCACTTAATTATTATATATTTGAAAACTATTAAATTGTGTCTGAAAAGAGAAAAGAAAAGCGAAAAATGGCATGTGGAAGTGATTCAAAAGATGGTGCAAAGAATGTGCAAAAAAAGTATCCTTGAATTTACTATGAACATGGATGGGACTGCTCAGGAGTAAACTTGTTTCCTGTCTCCTGCCGGCATCCGATCGATCGGTATACTATACTCTCACTTCATTGTGTTTAATTTATTTATTTCACTCACGGGTAATATTGCATGTTTTCATACAGTACCCATATTTCACTACTATTCAATATTTGCACTATGGATGACTCGTATTTATTAATCAAATTCATAAATAGTCTCAAGGGTCCATATAAATCCCCACCTGACCTACTCGCATTCATATTACTAAGATTGATTGACACATGCAAGAGAATGTGTCATGATTATTAAGAAAAACAAGTTTGTGTGATTGATATTAAATTGATAAAGTAAGAATAAAGTAAGAATGGTTTAGAGTCACATAATCTTTACCAAATTTAGTATGAGACAATCTTAGTGGGACTTTCCGAAAAGATAAAATGTGACATTCTTAGCGGGACGGAGGGGTATTTTATTAAATACGGCGTATTAGACTTGTGTGATCAAGTCTCAAATATTTTTCTAAACACACTAATTGACTAATACGGAGTATCATACTTCTTGTTCACAATATTATCTTCACACACATACTTCCAAAAAAACGTAAAGGTTTGATGAGACAACTCCTTGCGAGTCGTGCCGTGTAAATTTTGTGCATGCACTAACTTCACGTGATTTAAAAAACAAAATTTTCATAAATAGGAGAGAAATTTTGTGCATTAACTTCTCAAAAAACATGTATGCACCCCTATCTAGGGAAGTTTCTATTCCTATATTCCTTAAGCACGACTATATAGGTCATATTTTAAGAAGAAAACATATATACTTGCTCCTATTTCGAGCATATTCTATTTTAAAAATGTGTCAAATACCAATGTCTACAAATCTTATAATAGCCAATGAAGGTTAGAGCATTTTAGGTAGGAAAAAAGTGTTGGTGTAATCATGGTGCTTGTTTCATTTGTGTCTTGTGTTTCACTGTTTGTATTCTTTAAAAATATCTTTGGGTCTCCGTTTTATCTCCGTTTGTTGTTGTTAGCCTAACAACGACCATATATCCCTTCCGTTTGTCCATCTCTGTATGCTTTTTCAATGCATCTTCCTTCCATTCTGCCCCGACACTCAAGCGGTTACCCACCGTTCCATTTGAGCTGTTATTACCACTCCATTTAATTCCCTAATTCAATGCCCTAACAATTGATCTCCCAATTGGTTCTTTGAAGTGCCTCCCTAGCAGCAGATGTTGATGGGGAGCTTAGCAGTGCAGGCGATTGTTGGTGTGGATTTAAGAGCAGGATCACACGATTGCCTCCTTGATTTACCTTCTATCATTTCTATTTTCTATTTCATTTCTATGTGTACCCTCTCTGCTCGCGTCCCATGGTTACGCAAATTTACATGCTAATTGACTACCTTTTAAATTTATAAACTGCAAACTCAAATAGCGCTATTGCACCATTTTCTTATATTGTTCATGTCAGATTTTAGTGTCGTAGGGGACGCTTATATGGTTTCTGATTTTCTTCAGTCTCAAAATCATCCCTGAGTTTCATATCCGAAGCGTTGGATACCACATGCAAATATTTTAAATTTTTTTTCTTCCTTCTGCATGATGGGCTAGCTTTTACTCCAATAGAATGTCTAGCTTACCATAGAGAAATATCATGCATACAAATACTGAAATTGAGGCTTTATGGCTATGCTTTCATTTTCCCCAAAGTATGTTATCCCACAGGTGTAAACGTCAACTTTATTAGTTATTGGTTAGCTTACTCTGATGAAATACCAGACATTCAAACACAGATATAAAGCATCAAAGCACAGTGGTTAAAGGTAGATATTAAGAAAAATAAGAATGGTTTTCTAATTCTATAATAAAAGCTCCTTGTGAATGAAGTTGGGTGGCAGTGCTATTTGTATTCAATATTATTATTGATAAAGTTAAAGGGTCAAATAGGTCCTTGAACTGACTTAAAGTGTTCAATTAGCCCCTTATATAGGAAGTTCTGCCCGGCCGTTGCTAATTGTGGCGGTTCCCGGTGGAATTTTTTGAGCATCGTCTTAATTAAGTGTAGTTTACCCATACAAAATTTCAGTTAAAAATTCAACCGGGAATGCATTCAAATGATTTTCCGAAATGTACTGTGTTGTTTAACTTCACAGTTATCTTCAAAAAATCATTTGACTGCCTTCCCGGTTGAATTTTTAGCTAAAATTTGGTATGAGTAACTAGACTTAATGAAGAAGATGTTCAAAAAATTTCATCAAAAAATTCCTCCGAGAACCACCCCAATTGACGATGGCCTGCTTGTGCCTTCATTGGCTTTATTTATATTCCGCTTCTCTTGTCTTTCTAAATTACAGGTATACTATAAGTGTTTCACACATAAAAAATTCCTTTTCATATTTTTCTTCCTTGTGTTTCATTGTCATTTCTTTTTCTCTTAACCAGTTACGAGATGATTGATCATTGGATCAACTTGACTGGCAGAAGCTCTAACCCCAGGCTGAATTTGCACAAGAGGGTCTTCATATATGTACTTCTTTGGTCGACCCAATGGGTTTGCTACACTACCCTCACTTGAAAGCGAATCAGGGAAAGGCAAATCAGTAGGTCTATGTTGTGATTTGGTTTCAAACGGAGAATAAGATGGAGCACCTAACAACTCATCTTCACGGATCAAGAACTACGAGATCAACCCCCTCATTTTGGGTTGACGGAGGGATCATATAACTCGGGCCTCCTAAAAGTGGAACCGGCCCGGCCGGTTCGGGCCTAATTTTTTTTTTTTTTTTAGTTTTTTCAATTTTTTTTTTCTACTGAGTTGGGCTGGGTGTTTTGGGGGGTGGGGGGTGGGGGGTGAGGGGGAGAGAGGGGGGGGAGGGGGGGAGGTCGGGGGGGGTTAATTACAAAAGCAAAAGAAAAAAACATTGAACCGGAACCGGCCCGGTTCCGGTTCTCCCTTCCCAAAGAAAAAGCCCGGCCGGGACCAGGCCCGAACCGGAACTGGCCCGGCCCGGGTCCATCCCTAACTCGAGGTTGTTCTATCTTTGGGTAAATAGCAATTGATTTAGCTGCTATGCCCACGAACTATTAAGTAGTTCTCTCATAAGAAGTGGTTTTTAGATTCAACCACAAAAGATTCTATTCAAATAACTTCAATCCGATGTTTTTTAAAGAAATAATGACAAATTGAGATATATTATTAGACATTTCATGCTATTTTTATGATATTTCCTTGTAAAATTAGGAAAATAAGGTCTGGCTTTTTTATGGCTGTGTATATTTTTTTCCTTTCAAGCCCCATTCCTCTCACGATGAAAGAAAGTTTGAAAAATTGTAGGGAAAATGGAAACTAATAATCCAACCTTTTAGCGGTCTTCTTTCAATAATCCCACTTTTTGATTATTCATGAATAATCCAACCTTTGCACCTCATCTTCATTCACTGGTCCCTGACCGGTTGATGACCTGCTATTCCAAGCTATTTTCTTATCTTTGCAAATCATTATACCATAAATCTCATCTTTCACAAAGATAATATTTTGCAAAGATAAGAAAATAACTTGGAATAGCAAGTTATTAACCGGTCAGGGACCAACAAATGAAGATGGGGTGCAAAGGTTGGATTATTCATGAATAATCAAAAGGTGGGATTATTGAAAGAAGACCGCTAAAAGGTTGGATTATTAGTTTCCATTTTGCCAAAATTGTATTCTTTGATTGCTATAAATATTAACATGCTAAATACTAAATATAATCATATAAAGAAAAAAATGAAATATGCATATTTTTTTTATAAAAGGTGCATTGGGCATTTGTACAGTCGCGCATAGCGCGTAAAAAAACTAGTATTATAAATAGGCATTATATATATTTTATGATACACTCATCATACTTTATCCGCATGGATCAATTAAAATATTTTAATTGAATCATGAATTATCGACTTAGACTAATCAAATGCATAATAGGTAAGACACTCTTACTTTTGCGATGAGTACTTAGCATTCACCTTATAATAATTAATCTTGAAAATAACACCGTTAGGTTAATGAATAAATTTAGTAGTGTGAAGCTCACGTATCTTAGTGCTATGATTAAATATAAAAACAAAAATTACATTATATACTAATAAATATAATAATTACATTTCTTTAATTTGACAAATTTAGATGGGTGTGTTGATGCTTATTTTGAAGGTTATTGTTATTTTACCACACAAACAAGTGATGGTACCATAGGTACAATGCATTTGATGGGTTGAAGTCCTAATTTCATAATTTATTTTTTATTTATCCACTTAAATAAGCTAATAAGATGCCTTGAAGTACGGTAGAATGTATTTTTTTAATGGACTACTACGAGAAGTTATGTATCACAAAGGGGTTAATTAACTCATTGATCTGAACCCCATACTTAATTTTTCTCAAAATAAATATTACTAAATATGTTTTGTTTCATA